TTTGACATCGCAGTGCGTTTTCCGCGACATTTTCTGCGAAATTCTGATGGCAATATTTTAAGCCTGTCCTAATAATAATAACGTTCTCGCGTTTATAATTTCTGATATATACATTTTGTCATTTTCTTCGATATATTCAAAGAAGGTTATATAATAATCTGTGCTATATTTTTGTATATCTCTCTTTTTTTTTATAAATATAAATGCGTCAAGACTATTTTTTGTCTCGGTAACAGAAATCCTTTCTGAGGGTGTACGGAAAATAAGGATATCAGAATGTCCTATTACAGCAAAATACTAAATGTGCTATTACAATTTGTTTACGTACAGGTCGAGATCGAAGGGTTGACAGGAGAGATACGGTTCAACGACGATGGCCGACGACAAAATTATACGCTTCACGTCGTCGAGATGACTGTTAACAGCGCTATGGTGAAAGTGAGTTTGCTTAAAAATACATAACATTTAACTCAATTAATTCATAATTCTACAATTAAAAGTGGTGTATGTAAATTATTAAAAAATCCGTTTTCACGACTAAGCAGCTACGTGTATAATACTTTTACCTTCTTATTGGGTACACTTGGAACTCTCTTTCTGTGTCTATTTGTAAAAGATTTACAGTAAGAATTTCACATAATTGTTATAGGTTGCCGAATGGACCGATGAGACTGGATTTCAAGCAATAGCCGCGAAATACGTGCGACTGCGTCCGCATGAAATCGAAAAGAATAAAACTTACATCATTACTACGATAATGGTAAGATCTGAAATTGTGTGTTTACATAAAATGTTACGTGCAACTCGCGGGCGCAGGAACAATTATAAAACGACAACGTGGTAATATTGATTGATAGGAGGAACCTTACATAACGAACAAAGTGCCGGACATGGGTGAAGTATTAAACGGGAATGACATTTACGAAGGATACTGCAAAGACTTAGCCGATCTCATCGCGAAGAAGTTGGGCATATCATGTAAGTTCGTAACAAATAATGACGTTTCTCCCTTAAAAATTGCATTAATATCCACTTGAAAATTGTGTAATTAAATTAATTCCAATATACACGTGGCTATGTAGTAAAATCTAAGATATTTTTAGATTTATGCGTTATATAAATTTAATAGATGAACATATAATATTGATCCGAAGCAAAATCAACCTAATTATTATTATAAAATATTTAATTACGTGTTAACACGCGAAACATTTATTCCCACGAAATTTACTTAATGTCCACTAGATATAGTGCTAGAACAACGATGAAGAGAAGAAGAAGGAGACCGCGGTCTTTGTTTCGGTGCTTCCCTCCGGCGGCGTACGCTTCCGAGTAATTTTTAATTATTAATGCTAACGACTCTCATTTAACTCGCACAAAAATTAATAATTCCAGCAGGAATTACTTTTATCATGAGCGAAATTTGCCGAAGTCAGTCCCACCCTTGACAAGTACCTAAAAGACGTAACGAAGCCTCTTCCGCGCGCGGAATCGATAATGGAAAAAGTTCCGCGGAAGAAATGCTGTTTTGCGCGCCCCGTAAAGTACTTTCTTACGAATTTTCAGACGAGCTGCGGATCGTGAAGGACAGAAAATACGGCTCGGAGAACCCGGACGTCCCGGGCGGTTGGGACGGCATGGTCGGGGAGCTTATCAGAAAGGTAAGTTCCAGTAATTTCGTTGTATCCGCTACATCCTCGACGCGCAGCGCTTTTTCCTCTCTCCCGAAACTGCTCTCCCCCCGGAAGTTTACGCGGAAAGACGCCTCGAGTAATTGAACCCAGCTTTCCGCGAGGGGGAGGGGCAGGGGAACTATTGATCGTCTCGCGGTCGTATGGTCCAAGTGCTCTACGAAGGAGCTGTTTTATCCCCCGACAGCGAGTTTGAACCTGCTCCACTAGATGCCCTGAGCTTGCAAGCTCGTTAGTCGCGATTCGATTTTAAGTTCCATCTGGTGGGAATTTAGGATAAGTCTAAAGCACTCGAGCTTTTAGCTACATCTCGCGTAGGTATGCACGCTTCCTTCAGAAGATTCCGAGAGGAAAACCAAAAAAAAATTGAAAAATCTACCACGAGGGGTAACTATTTGAGAGATGCTAAGATAATTCCTTATCGAAATTATTTCATGTAAACAGACCTAGTCTCAAGAATATTATAATAATAATTTAACAATAAAAATATAACTACAGAACACAAGATACCAAGAGCGGAAATTGTGCTCGATCATTACGTGAATTGTTTCTTTGTCTTAAATTTTGCCTTATTATTCTTCAAATTTATAATCGCGCTCAAGAAATATGCAAATTATTGTAAATAATTGTCGACACATAAAAACTCCTTCTCCAATCTATTTGAGATTTGTTTCCGTTTCCCTTTTTGCGATCAGATGTGTCTATTACAGTCTATCCGATATTTTTATATGGATATTTAAAAATTAGTGTTTTATTCCTGCATCATTATTTAGTGATATTAATGGTAATTTATTTACGGTGTTGGTTATTTTGCTCTACTCGCAGGAAGCCGACATAGCGATTGCCCCTCTGACCATCACCTCCGAACGGGAACGTGTGGTCGATTTTAGCAAACCGTTTATGTCTCTCGGCATTAGCATCATGATAAAAAAGCCCATCAAACAAAAACCCGGGGTCTTCAGCTTTCTGAATCCGCTGAGCAAGGAGATCTGGGTGTGCGTTATTTTCTCTTACATCGCAGTTTCCATCGTCCTGTTTATTGTGTCGAGGTAAGAAATTTTTTTACTAGGAATTACAATCTTTCACGAGAAATGTACGGGAAATGCGTATTTTTAGACTAGATATAATAAATCAAGCCAAGAAGTGACGCGACGCTTATTATCTTCGCCCCTCTGCATACTAATGATTGACGAAACGTATCTTATTAGACCTTATACATTATTAATCGGTAGCCGATCCAAGTATTAATTATGAAAAGATAAATCAATGCTCATTTCTCGCTTTATAATTAAGCGAAGAATTGTTCATGCATATTAATGGCATTAATCAGAACACTCGCGAAGGAAATCTTGTCATCTATTTTTAATCCGGCTGCACAAACCTTCTACGGTACTGGTGCACATCAAGATAATTACAGTGCATTTATCGCGATACGAGCAGCAAATTACATTGCGATACATTCGTCGCGTTTTGCCATCCTGCATTATGCTATGCATTCACGTTCCTTATCTCGCATTACTACCAAAATTCACCATGACGTATTAATCCAACTGCGTAAAGACGTAAAAAGGTTTCGAGTCGTCCGTTATCTTTGCACTGCAACAGTGCAGCCAAGTAATTGGCATTGCGTGCAACCATCGAGACATCTCGACAAGACACATTCGTGAAGGTCTTCAGTCTTTTACGAGAATGTGACGAGCGTGAGGAAGAAAGTTTTTAAATGGTGTAATTAGCGAGACTCTTTGACTCAAATCTTCGACTTGGTACGATCGTGCGTGATTACTCGAGAATATCACCGTCCGAAATGGAATATTAATCCCGCGTTTCAAAGCGCTATTCTTTTATAGAGCGAACTTTAGATACAGTATTAACTACGAGATGTATGTTTACTACCTATGTTTTTACACCATCATATACACGCAAGACTAATGACACAAGTTTTAATTTATTGACACGACAGCCAGTCGTTTATTACATGCTATTATTAACCAACAATTTATTCGCGTAATGAACTGGAACACGCAATTTCACACTCCGCGAAACGCTAACATTATCTGCTGATTAATGCTAACAGTCGTTTTACAACAACAAGTAACAAGACATTACTCTTGAGACAGGATTCTTTAATGTTTCGCTTTCTTTCAATAATATAGATTTTCGCCGTACGAATGGAGAGTTCTGACCCTCAGCGGTAGCACAGATTCGGCCATTAGTGGACGAAACGAGCCCGGTTTGCAGCATCCACACACGCCGCAAGGTTCACCTCACATGCCAACTTCCAGCATGGCCAACGATTTTAGCATCGTAAATAGCCTCTGGTTCGCACTCGCGGCGTTTATGCAACAGAGCTGCGATATCTCACCCAGGTAAACACGGCTCACGTTATTAATTTCCAGCGGTAATTAATATGGTAGAGAAGAAGCTCCCGCCGTGAACTTGGCGGTTGATTTTTTCCTAATCGGCGAATTTAACGTCGGCTCGCGTTCGTGCTACAAATCTTGAATTTTAAACGCCGTTATAAATGATGCCCGCACACCGAAAAATCTCTTCCCCCGCGGATTATTAGCCGCGGTAGTTATACTTCGTGTTACAGCTCGGGAATAAATCGGATTTAACACACGTGTAAAGTTTTACGTATTTTTGGGAACGCGTTCGTTCTTTTACACGTTCTACTTATCTGATGCTGCAATTAGCAGCATTTTTATATAATATCGAAATTTTTTAGCTTTATACATGTCAAACATTAATTCTACGAAATCTGTTTTTTGTCAATCTCATTAACTCAGTAATTTCAGAAATTTAATTTAAATTTCAATTACATCAGGATAATTAATATCGGAAATTGGAACTTCTCTCCCCCCCCCTCTCTCCCTCCCTCCCTCCCTCTCCCCTCTCCTCTTTATACATGTATATCTTATTTGCCAAATTATTATATTAGTTTATATAAAACAGTACTTTTATATTTTATATTTTTATATTTATAAAAATGTCTTAAACTTATTTAAAAATTTAATATTTAAGACGAGAAAAGCAGAATATGCGTCAGCTAAGAAGGGCTCGTGTAAACAAAGCGTACAATCATACAATTTCGTTATTAGCTAGGATTCGGGTAGGATCAGATATTTATCTTGAGGATGACTCGTGGATGTGAACTTGCGAGAGAATGAAAGAGAAAGGGAGGAGGGAGGGGAGAGAGAGAGAGAGAGAGAGAGAGAGAATAGCGCGCGCAAGTGGCTCCCACGTTCTTCTCGGCTAATTATAGCCGCCCACTCTCGCCTCCCTCCGTTTCCGTTTCCGCGGTATAAGCGCAGGTAAGTACATAAAGGCACAGGGAGAATAGCTCCCTTTACCCGGGACAGGTCGAGCGTACAGCCCGGTAATAGGATGAATCGGGTAAGATTCTAAGAGCTTCCCAGTTGACGTTTAAAATCTCTCGTGTAAATTGTTAAAGCGCCTCTCCGCGGGTGGACGTTTGACTTAAAAAGCTCTTTACAATATTTCGGGAGGCACTTTCGCGCTAAATATGGCCCCAAAATAAATGATCTAATAATTTCCCTTTGTAGATCAAGCTGTTCCGTGCATTATATGTGAGACAAGGAGCTTATATATATAGAGAGAGAGAGAAACTAATTGCACATTCGTGGAAATATCCGTTGGTAAAATTAAAATCGGGTTTCTAGAACGCGCCGTGTATATATAATACGTATATCTCGGGCTGAAAATCTTTTATTGCTGATAGCCTTTGTAATATATTTCGCTCTTCCGAAGGCGTGCGCGATTACTACAAATACATAAAGCATATGTTATTTGGTTTTTAGAGTGCTTGCAAACATACCTCGCCATTATTCTCGCGATAAACGCGCGTTATCACCATCAGTGCCGTCATTATACTCTCGTTAGCAAACATTTCAATCGCTCTTATCTTGCGCACCGCTTCACTCATGCTATATAAATGTGTTCATGCTACAAATTACTCTATGCGTCAAGATTTGATAATGTAGTGCAATCAAAATGTGCTTGTTCTTAATGACATAAAGCATTCGAATAAGCACAGATTGATTAGATCGGCATAGCGCGAAACAATTCTAATTCAAATTATGTTAATTAAATGCAAGTTACGGGAGAAAAATCAGATCGACATTTGCAATAAAATTGGCGTCCTTATTGTGCAACGGCGTAATTTAAATCGGCTTTATAATCCCCTGATGATTACGGCGCGAGGTTAGATTCATTTGAATAAGGTGTACTGCACGTGCAAAAGTCCTAGTCGTGATACGTAAACCGACTATGTATTAATTTGCACATCTTGTATTGCTTTGTTAATTTTATTTCACGTTAACATAATTATGTAGTAAATTTCCTTAAATATTATACAAATGTGATTTTTATTCATTATGTCAATTGAGTGTTTCGAGAATTATTTGATTGATATTGTAACATGAAACTAGCAGTGAATAGTTTTTAAACGAGCTTGAAAAAATTCGCGAGCAAACTTCTTAGAAATTTAAAACGAAAGAAAATATACAAACGTTGACAATAAATAAATCATATCAGAAATAAAAGGAGTCTCTTCTCCTTTTCTCCTTTAATTAAAGAGTTATGAATTATGAAGTAGGTCTTTAGAAGTTGAGTATTAAAGGACCGAAAAGAAAACTCTCTTTCGGCTGTCTCGGAGCTCGATAAATTTCGCATGTTTGAATTAACTGCCTTTCGAAGCCGATACGAGTATTCATACATAAAATTTCCGCAACGTTAATTCGCTTTTATACCTAATTATGAAATATTTATGAAATATACATGTTCTCTAACACGTAGCAATTTCCACGGGTCACAAAGCCATTGCAGTACTTCTCGATGTATGAAAATTATCTTTTTGAGAGTCAGCGTTAACGTTGAAATGTTTCATTATACATATAGTACATTTCTTGGAACATAACCACGGGTTGGGTAACGATTTTGAGCAAACACTTCAGGCTGCAGACAAGTGCCACATCTATAAACAAAGCATAATTTGCTCGCGTATTCAAAACATTGTAGTTGGATAGGAGTCCAGCGTGAATAGAATATTCACGTGGCAATGCTATATTGTGCTTTAAAGCACGCTACGCAGCGGTATGATAGAATTCAAATCACACGTTCCCTCTTGTTTCTTCAGTGTATACAAATCACATTATGCATTGTTGTTGTGACATAGAGATTAAAATATTATACAATATTTTTTGCTCGCGAAAGTTAAAAGAGTATCCTCCCACAACGTTCGGCTGCTCGTTCCTTTCGCCGCCATGTTTTCAGCGCAATTTTTGCGACGCGGGCAAAAATAATGACCCGATGTTCAATTTGAGAAACCGCGTCCCACAAAAGGGCATACATTGCTGGAGAATTGCAACAAAAGTGAACGTTACGAGTACGCGCGCGTTTTGTCGTTTACGCGAAACAGACCGCGTGCTCACTCCGAAACTGGGTCTCAATTAATTTACATTTGGCTGTATCCAGTGCGCCACCCCATCCTAGTAGCCCCCTTGATTAATGGTTTAAATATTCGCGCGGTGGCGATATGAATTGTAAATTTCGTGGAACCCGCGCGAACGGCCACCATTCCTCCATCCTCCTTCTCTACGCTTCTCTTCCTCATCTCCTTCGGCCACCCTTGCGCGCGCTCTTGATGCTCAACCCGCGCAAATCTAAGTCCGATGTGTGCACACATAATTAACGATATCAGGCTTCTTGTTTACGAGTAGCAACACTTCGATTATACAGACTGGAGAATTCTCTAGTGCGAGCAACGCGCGGTGTGAATGGTACTTAATTTAATTTTGACTTGACGATACAATGTACATGCATACGTATGTTAGAAAATTTGTATATGTAATAAAAAGTCTTTGTATCTCAATATTTAAATGTTTTATATGCTACGTATCTAAGGCAAGCGAACATATTTCGGAACAGCACCAATTTCGAAACACTTCCTCGATTGTTTTCTGTACCTACTGTGCTCTCTTCTTCACATTGCAGGGTTTATTTATGATGCTTTTGTCACTGACGTCAAAATTTCACATTACGTGACGTCTAACAGGAGAAGAAAAATTTTTATGTTCCAAAATTGGTGCTGCCCTGAAATATGTTCGCTTACCCTACGTATCATACATTGTACATAGAGGAAAGTCCCCTATTATGAGACAGGCTCCTAATGTGAGATAGCGGAGTTTCTGCTAGATTAATAGGCGTCGTCCGTTGGTTCCACCATGAATTTAATTACCCTTGGAGTGAAATCCGTTTAGTGGAGCATCGATCGTTGGATCGTGTAATCGTTGCGAAGAAAGATTTGCGATTGAATTTGTACGTTGAAAACCTGCTACCTCGTATTAGAATCCTATCTCGTAATAGAGGACTTTTTCTCTAAATTTGTTCCTATATACAAGTATGTTTGTTATTTACACAAAATTAACGATTCCCGAACAATTTGTGACCCACAGGTCCATATCCGGCCGCATAGCCGGCAGCGTCTGGTGGTTCTTCACTTTGATTTTAGTGTGCTCCTACACCGCAAATCTCGCCGCATTTTTAACCATCGAGAGAATGGTCACGCCAATTAGCTCGCCCGAGGATTTGGCGGCGCAGACGGAGGTCCAATATGGCGCTGTCGTTAACGGTACCACTTTGGAATTTTTTCGGGTAAGTATCCAAGAGAAATATTTAACCCCCCCCCCCTTTCGTAATTATATACGTTAGAAACGTCATTAACTTTCCCGTGCACGTATGCGCGATCGTCGCTCCACCTTCATTTAACGTCTCATTCGTCCGCAGAAATCTCAAATCGCACTCTACAGCAAGATGTGGGAATTTATGAACTCGCGGAAAGACGTATTCGTACAGACGTACGAGGAGGGAATAGAAAAAGTGAGGACGAGCAAGGGCAAATACGCATTTTTGTTAGAGAGCCCGACGAACGACTACATCAACGAGAGAGAGCCCTGTGACACGATAAAGGTCGGCAGAAATCTCGATGCCAAAGGATTTGGTGTTGCGACGCCGCTAGGATCCCCACTCAGGTGAGTACTCCTTAACGGTATAAAATCTTGCGTGATACTGTCGATAAAAGTGACTTCACTTTAGACTTTAAAACAACGTAGAGTAGATAAAAGCGACAGATATTACAGTCAAACAAGTAACTTTAATTATTGGCAATTATCTTACTCTGTGTGCACCGTCGTCTCGTTATTTTAAAAATAAGCTACTCACAGCGCGAATTAGAGAAAAATGTCAATTAACAGGCGCAAAGTAGCAAAATTGAAGTTTTATATATAGAACCTTAAAAAACTATTGTTATATAAAGAAAAATAGTTCGATCTATGAGAATAATTTCACACCCGCATCGACATTTACTCTTACTTTTCACATTTCGTTGGACGGCAGAGAGACGGCATTTGGTATATTTTCATTGACAAACGAGAGAAAGGGAGTAGGTAATTAACGAGGTTTTATAGTCATCAAGATGAAACAGAGGTCCTAGTTTTCCCTTTCTTTATCACTTTTTCGCGATGCACCACATCTTTGTTTCTTCCGCATCTTTTTGCGACATTTCTCTTTTCCTTCCACTGTGTTCGGAACGTCGCGCATCATTACACGCAATTAGCATAGAAAAAGTCGTTCCCTCTTTTCCATACCGTTACCCATTAGAGGACATATTTAGCGTGAGCCAACGCCTCTTCGCATCAAGTTCCGACTGCGCGTTAACATCGAACTTTCGGCTTATACAAGCGAGATCTGTCCATACTTTTATTCGAAAGTTTCTGAGCATTTAGTCCTGTTGCAATTTGTTTTTAGCTAATGTTTTCGACCAAAGAAATGACAATATTAATTCGATTGTTTTAAGCTTTATAAATTAGAAATGAATTCGGTATCTATATCAGTACTTCCATAAATAAATCAATTTGTTCTTCAAACTCAAACCTGATTTGGACGTTTACCAATAATGTTTTCTCTTTCAACATAGCAAAAAAAATTGTCGAATTTTTAGACGCAACAAAATTGATATCAATACATTGATCTGAAAGTTCTAGAAGTGAAATTTATATTGTAGCGTTACTTATGGCCCAACCTTCCGTGGTAAAGGAAATTAGAAAAATCTATGAATAAGTACTTGTTAGTCCATTAATCTTCATAATGTGACTAGAGCAAGCGTACTACTGCGACGGTAATACGAGCAAATTTGCATGTTATTGATTTTTTAACCGCACGACCCCCTTGACGTTTCGTGCAACGCTCTGATCTCGTCCCCGCGACTCACGCGCTGTCTTTAGATTGTCGAAGCAAGAACGCTGCTCGCAAGGCAGGTAATTGGGGGGCGGTATGCAAACAGCAGCTTTATTATGTCTACCTACACACCTACCGAGGAATAATGGCGCCGTGGCTTTCTATTAATCTTTTCTTTTTTTCCTCAAGCCGAGGAAACTTCTCTCTTCGTAGCTCGGGGCAGAAACTTGGTAGAATACCGATATTCCCCGAAGCTTAATTAAAGAAAGTTCCCTTAACTTTTTCTTACAAATCTGATTAGACGCACTGCTATGATATTTCGATGCTCCGACTACTTATCCACACACAATTAGATCGTGCTTTAATATATCGTGAAGTTATCTGGCAAAGGCACGTAAAGTAACCCGATTAGAAAATCTTATCTTTTCTGTAAACCGTATCTCGTATAATAATACTTATTCGGCGGCTTTATCACCTTGTGATAAGATATTGTAAATTCGACAGGGATCCCATAAATTTGGCGGTGCTCTCTCTGAAGGAGAACGGAGAACTGGCGAAGTTATTCGAACGATGGTGGTACGAAAGAACGGAATGCAGGCATGGTGATAAGCCAGACCCTGCCAGAAACGAGTTATCGCTGAGCAATGTAGCGGGAATATTTTATATCCTGATCGGTGGCCTTCTTCTGGCACTCGCCGTAGCCCTCTTGGAGTTCTGCTACAAATCGCACACAGAGGCGACAAGGGCGAAGGTAATATTAGCGCCGGATACGACATGTCGTACGCACTTGTTGTACCTCGTCGGAATTCAATTAAATTGCATTGTCAAATTAAAATACTTTTATATAACGCAGCAGAAGTTTAGTTTGCTAATTAGCTATAATTTTTTTTTAAATCGCACCGTGTTTGTAATATCTAGTTGTTGATTTAACTTTTTTAATTAAATATTTAATAAATTTCACAAAACGCATGCGGGGGAGAAGAAGATTGTTCCATAAAACGTCATTCTTCCTCAGATACCGTTGTCGGACGCGATGAAGGCGAAAGCACGACTTACCATCGGCGGTGGTCGCGATTTCGACAATGGACGGGTAAGTGATATCAGTCAGATCTCTCACTAATATGTTCGCATACGCATATTGGCATACGGTATCAGTAGAGATTATTTGGCAAGAGACGCTTCGATTAAACGCGCCGTCGATCGAAGGAAGATAAAAGAATGCAGTGACGAGTAATTAATAGCATTTGGTGTGTTTGTTTAATATTGTTTGGACGTTGGTTTGCTCAATAATACATGCGAATACCGAACTATTTAGTGGAATTAAACATACCCATATGTTTGCTGCAATATTTGTACATATTAGTAATAACAAAAAGTATACACACGTGCTATCGGATACAATATGCGCTGTTGTTCATTTAACACGTCGTAATACTGTTATTAACCAGCTATTCATTATGATAATACGCATCTGCGAGTGTTCTCTGGATATGATTTATTAAATTCGCCGTTGGGTTACGCATTAATCTCGTAAAGGGGGAAGAAAGATGCGCAGGTGTGCGTAGGCGCTTCCCTCGGCGGCGCGTCTCCTCGTGCAATTACTTCGGTCTCGAACCAAAGGTATCGATGTATCATAAAACATATATATACATTCGCAACAAGAGCATCGTACATTATACATACGCATATATACATGAAACCTATACATTATATCCATACATATAGATGAACGATATATAGAGTACGCTTGGCATGCAGTTAGCAGCGTAAACGTTTGACACACTCTCGTTAGTTACGTGGCCGGACTCAACTCGGCTGCATTTAATGTCCCAGAGTTTCAGCCTCAGTCTCCAAGAGACCGATCCGACCAGGGGGCTAAGACCGTTCGATATATTGACGATACATATATTCTCCATATATGTATATACCTACATATGTATGCGTACGTGCGTGCGATGTGCGGCTGGCTGGATGTATTGCGCTCTTTTTGGTTTCTCTCGTCTTTCTCGTCTCTCTCTCTCTCTCTATCTCTCTCTCTCTTTTTTTACTCGGAGAACGTACGGAGGGGGAACGTACAAATTTGCTCGTTCGCGCGTTTGCGTTTCGTTCTACTTTGGGTTTTTGTCTCTAGTGGTACGGACTGCAGAGTTAGACGGAGGATGCATGCGCCTTTCCCGGGACCATATGTGAGTACTCTCGCCCTTAATTTTAATCCCACTTTGCATTTATCTTGCTTCCTCCCAACTCCATTGCAGCTTCCCTCATTTTCTATTTCTCTTTCGCTTTTCGTGTGAGACGCTTCTGCATGACGTAGCCGCGATTTGGGTCACACTGCCACACCAGATCCCGGAATGTTACCTGTCCTCTGACGAAGGATAAGCCGATGTCTGTCACACGCATACACTAATATATCTCTTTCCAAAACACATGTAACCACCTCTGAGAAATTATGAGCAACTTTACGCCGACACGTTAGTCCCACAGAACGTACCGTCCGATAAGAATGTTCCGTTAACGTTATTAGCTTTCCACACAAAAGTTTGCTTAAACATGCGTGTAAAGGGAAAGAAACAGAGACACACGTAGGGACTTAAGAAAAATTTGAGATCTTCACGAAAGTTCCTGCTTTTTGTAATATTCATTCCTTTCACAGCGCGGGAAGAAACGAGTACTGGCTGCGGAGGTGCCAACATTGACTACGTTCGCGCCGAAGGTACGAAGAGACCATGGTGCATCGAGAGCCGCACAGGAAATTTGTTGAAGATCTCTAATTTTCTTACGTTCCTACGTACATTGCCACGTCGGTGTATGGATATGTCTGCACGGTGTATCCTTTGCTCTCCTTTCAGAGTTGGATAGTATATCTGTCTATCTATATACGCAAAGAGCTGCTTTCCTCTCGAAACTTTTCTCACTTTGCAGCTGATCAATTACGAGGTTTGCTTCCCGATTTTAGCAATCTTCCGTGAATAATCGTTCACAGTTTACTAAATTACATTGGTATTCGTAACAGCTCTTAAAAAATAAGATCTACAGAGTCCCGAAGAATAAATCTCTTGAGGAAGGTTGATAAGATCGGCCAAGAACTTTCATATTTCAACGTCCGTTTAAACATTTTAATACGAGCGAAATAAACACTGTAGTATTTTAGATGTAACTGCAAAATGTCCGTTCTTACACTGTCTTTTGTGTACTGTCAAACTCGCATTCTCTATCCCATACTTTCCTCCGTGTTCATTCAGTCGGCGCTTCCTTTATCGAGCGCTCCGATTTTTGTCTCTCAGTGATTCGCGCGCGCTTACTCGGCATGGCTTAAGCAAGAATGCACCGCGGCAAACGAGACGTGATGTGGCATGTTGCGTGACACTTTTCAAGTTCATTCTGTAAAACTTGTAAACGAGCGACGGACCCATGTGTGAATTGAGAGCCGTCTTCGTCGACTCGTTTTCTTTATGTCGGCGTGCACACGTGCGTTCGATCACTCGTCCGTCCGCTCAAGGCAAAAATCTTCTTTACTTGCGGATATTATCGTTGCAAACTATGGCACCAATGTCGTTACAACTTGTTATATCATTTTGATCTCCGCTCGGATTAATCGAAAAGAGTATGTTAAAATGAAGGACACAAATCCCAAGTTTGCATTAGCGACGATTGCTATTGCAAGTGAGGATGAAACGTCCGTATCCGTGTCTTTATTTATCGAATTACAGGTCTAATTCGACGAATAAATAAACAAGCAATTAAATGGCATTAAGCCATACGTTGCAAAATGTAGAGAAAAAAAATACTATAATAACCTTACTCACGTTAGAAATTCACACACCTATAGTTATGCAATTTTTCATGTAATTCTGTCATAAATCACATCCAAAATTTCGTCACATAAGATTCTTTACTGTGCCTTTTAATGTGCATGAGCTAGTACACTGTCGTACACTGTTCAGTTTCAGATTATCTGTGTGTGACCAGTCTTCAAAATTGTTACTACTTTCGATCCGACATCTCGACGCTCTCGACATTTTTACTCGTGTCAAAAAATTAAGGACTGCAATCTTTTTTTTTACCAATATCTTATTAACATGACGATATTGGCCAAACGAGCGATATGATTTCAATGGCAATTGTGTGAATAAGAATACTTGATAAGGGTCCAAATCCGGGACCGAAACGTCGTTGGTTTTTTAAATAAAAACATTGGCCAGTGTAGGTCGTTTAAAAAAACTATCATTGGTTACTACTTTCATCAAATTAAAGTTGATTAATTTAGGATAACATTAATCGCTGTCGGAAAGAAATTTAACGTTGAAAGAAATTAATTCAATGCTCACTTATTCCAAGTAAAAATTTGCCTCCAACTCACGTAAAACCAAAGATCAAGTTGGTGTGCCAGAAAACTATTGTTTCGCTGTTGTTTCATCTTGAATAAATTTGTCTTAATCCTATGATAATTGAGAAACTGCGACGGTTACGGAAGGTTATTAGCTCGAGTGGGCCTAACGCTGTCTAATCGTCGGAATGTTGAAATTTGCAGTATTACGCACCAGCCAACGCGATTGGGAATACCGAGGGCGACCAGGTACACAGCAACACACATACCCAAGTGTAAACTGCTACCAGGAAAGTCCGAGCGATTCGCCCGCCAATTCGCTGCCCACGCCCCCGCCGCCACCGTTGGTGGCACCCCCGCCGCCACCCCCGCCACCCAGGAGACCACGGAGGAGCGTGACCTTCGCGGAATCGCCGCCGAAGAGCCCGAAGAAGAAGCCGAAGAGCCCGAGGTTCATCTTCCAGCGGAAGCCCAGCATCGCGGCTCTCGACGTAGCGGTACCATGGACACCGGCGTCCCCGCGACACTGGTCCGGCCTGAATGACAAACCGGAATACATCACCTAGACGTTCAACCCAGCGTGGAAGCAATCGGCGTCTTTCCGTCGTGGCGATCGTAATTGTTAGGGTATCGCTACGGTGCTCGAACACTATTGAGGAAAATCTTCCTTTCGCGATTTTGTCCAGGAGTCGAATAATCCAGAGCTCGAGTAATGAAGCAATTGAAGCATGGAAGCACTGATATTTTTATAGAGCAATAATTATAAGATTCTAAGGAATTTTAAAAGAAGAAAAGCTGTTTCTTCGCTGTAACACTTGACGCAGCACCGGTGACATTTTGTATCGAGTTCAATAAACGATGCGTTATATTTGTAAGATTTAGGAAAAGTTAAGCGACTAGTTCCTCTAATAAATATTGGAGAATACGATTATCTCAATACAGAGTTACGTAAAGGGCAATTGGATTATCGGCACGTTCGAATCGCGAAGAGTCGCATTACTCGGTCCTCAAATTATTCGACGACTGATAGGCAGAGCCGGCGTGTGAAGTAAACCGCACTGGAAATCTTCAACACCATCTATTCTCCTCTCCGCGGCTACTGTCTTCTCCACTGAGGTCACGTGCTTTACGAGGAATATGCGTCTGATTCGACAAATTATCCACGAATCTTTCTGCGGAAAGTAGCATTGATACTGCCATTTTTTAAAAGCAACAACATTCCGAGACTAATATTGGAATCCAAAAGTATTTTATTACATTTTATTATCATTCTTATCTTATTAAAAATGTACATCCTTCGGAATCTTTAATAACTGTTATCGAGACTAAAGTAAAACGTGAAAATCTAATAAAGTGGGTCAATATAGAACATATTTGGACCGTGGGCTTCAGGCTTGAAGAGAAGGAGCAGCCACACTCTCCGTAAATCGGCGGAATCTTTCGCCGCGGAGTCGTCGCCCGAAAAATCTCAAATATCTCCCAAGCCAATCTACGGCGGCGACAAGAACGGGGGCGAAAGTTCCTTTCGATCGAATCCTTTGTACATTGTAAATAACCGCGAGAGAATCAAATAAAAATCAAAAGATAAACGAGTTCACTATCGGCGACGCACTAGCCCGTCGCAACTGCGATAGTATAATGATGGTCCTGGGATGGGTGCATGTGCAACCAGCAACTCGAACGACACACTTACTGCCATGATACGCGAAGAGGGACGCACTGTTAAGAGAGACGGCGTTCGCGGGTGGAAGTAGAAGAGGATTCGCGGTGGCCAAAGTCCGCCGTTGCGAGTCATTAGAAACGTCACGTGCCAAAAGAGACTGTCGATCGTGACGACGACGCTACTATTATTCTTATTATTATTACTAGTTATTATGATTATTATTATGACAATTACCGATTACCGTGTATAAGGGGGTAACTATTTTGTGCAATGCGAGAGTGGAGTCTGGCGCCGCAAACGGCGGAGTCACATGAGTTTTTTCACTGAAAACAATGGGTGTACAATCGCACCGAATGCGTGAATGTTGCGAGCGAAATAGTACGTATAATATATAAATATATAAATATAAATGCAAATAAAATATATACATACTTATAGACGTTTATCGAGAGAGAGAGAGAAAGAGAGAGAGAAAGAGAGACAGAACGTGTGCGAATGCGTGGATTATGGTGGAATGCGTGTATGAAACGTATGGATTTAGATCAATCGTGTAAACGCGTTGTAAGTACCTAATAAGTGCCAGATCGCGCCGATCTGGATCGATAGATGGACGCAGGTAGTCCCGCTTCTCGTTTCGTGTCTTTTCTAATCGTCTTCAAAGCCGTCTCGCGATGGAACTTACCGTGCGTCGACGGATCGCCGCGATCTGGCTCGAGAAACGACGTTTACGGCCACGGTTTTCGTGCCAAGAGACGATATCTCCCGCCCATACGGTTCGACGCTGCGTTATCCAACAGACGCACTACAAATGCACAAACGTGCATTCTTGAGAGGGCAGCTTGTAATTGTGCAAGCCGTCTTTAAATTTTCATCGATCGGAGTTCGGTGCTCGCGTTTCAAACGACAATGTGTCCTTTTTTACGTGGAAAAAAAACTGATGTCCGAACGATCAAAAGAGACAATTAATAAAAAGTTTATTAAACTTATATATAATTAACAGCTGTTGAAACAGCAATCAAAATTAATAAATGGCTAAATTTGATATCAAGTTTTTTAATATCGATATTTTAACTATATTAATACACGCGCAGATCGTATCTTCGATTAATTTTTATCAGACAATACATTTACCGGGACATCGGCAAATCGGTGCGTAAATTTTAACGACGAAATAAATGAAGCGACTGCAACACTTTGTGGAAACTGCCCAGTGCGATATAAGCGTAATCGATAATTGTAGAAACCGCGCTGAAGCTTTTAAAGCGATTCGGGGACGTTTCCTGCACGTAAAGATAGCTGCAACTGCAATTTAGCTCGCCTCAGTGTCGGACGCGAAACGGCGGGGGAAATCGGTAGCCAAATTACGTGCCGCCACGTGTAAAGCTGAATTTTCTCCCCCCCCCCCCCCCCACCCGAGGACGCCCTTTGCCCATACAAATACGCGATAAGTCGCGACGCGACGCGCATTTCCACCTCCCAGTTGTAAATATCAAAGATTAGATTGCCATTTAGAATGAGAGTCCTTTCACGTTGCGTCTTGCGAGCATTGAAAGTTTTCGCACGACGCACTCGTCGTTCCGTTTAGCGCACTCGATAAAAGCAATCTCACAACGAAGCATTAATTTGAATTTAAACGGAAAAGAAAAAGGAAGCAGAGTGTCGATTACGTTTGATAAACTTTGTACATTGATACTATGACACGACGATCTCGATTGTCCAGCACGAATCCAGTGCGAAAACAATAGGCGTTCGTACGACGAGATTAATCGTGCCAACAATACGATCGCGCGGAGCGTAGAAACGATGTCCTCCACTTTCGTAGGGAAGGTTTACTCGTGGCGGCCGTCGAGAGCGATCAACCTATCATATCGTCAGACTTTCTTATTACGAATAATTGTTATCTATCACCGGATAATAAAGCGATAGATAATGCGTATATCGGGTATTAAGTCGTTACAAAAAAAAAACAAGAATAATGATAAACGTCGTGCATGATAATGTTAGGAGGAGAAGCTCAGGAGGGATTCGAGCGTCGAGCGAAAACGAAAGACCTTTCCGAGACTATGTCGAAGTACCCAGTGTGTGATTAACTGACAAATGTACATCGCGCAAACGATACGCACGTTCGAGCGAGGACACACATACGTGCGAGTGATTTAAGATAATCGAAAGAAAAATCGTCGACGCGTCTCGCAATCGCGGAGACGCGTCCCGATCGTCCGTTACCGTTAACGTTTCTCGTGTTGATGTTCATCGTGACACTTTTTCTATCCCCGAGCTCACTTACGGAAAACCGACGAACAAGTCGCGAAGCCAAGCAATGTAACAATCCGCGCGCGCGCGGAACCGCGCGAAAGAATATCCACTGTAACGGGAATCCCACCGAAAGTCCCCCTCGTTCTCCATCGAGTCGCGGAGACTCGATGCACCTCTGATGACGCACCTCTTCGATGGATGGTTCTACGTTTCCGAACACCTTGGGTTGCGATTGGATCACATAGTGAACTACATCCAAGTAAAGGCGATCAGTTCTGCTAATAGAATCTCTAATAATTGATGTTGGAAGTGCCCCGCATTTGCACACGTTGATCCAGATTATCGTCCGGAGAAAAGGTGTGGAGACGGTTCCGCGTTTTCGTATGTAACTACTTGATTACGTTTACATGTGTAACTGTGTGATTACGTGTCGCTCCGAGCGGAAGCAGGAATCTCGGAGACCCTCCGCAACACCCGCAATCGATTAATCTCCACTTTTATACGTCACAACAGCCGAGCAGGCAGCTCATTCTGCTCGACGCACTTGCCGCAATCGATGTTCCGACAAAATGTCCACTTTGTAAAAGTGGATCTCTTACAATAATTTCCTAGGCGAAAAATGCCCAATTTACAAAAAGGTGAATTTTCATTGAGCAGAATGTCTGCGGATACCTGCGTAGCACACAAGAAAAACATGTCTCTGAACTTGCACCGACAAGCGCAGCGTTGACACGTGTAAATGGAACGAGACCGCGCGAGAGAACAAGTATTTCCACGGCAAAAAGAGGGAGAGAACAGAAAAAAAATAGCGTCTTCCAGTTTGCGCTTTCATTCATCGCTGCATTCCACTTACGCTTGTACCTTCGATTCAATCCTTCGTTATCCCCGTGCCATCCCGTGGCGTGATACGATCGACTCCCTTGTAAACCATTGTATACCAATCAAATTTGTCACAATACAGGATCGTTTATTTAAATGTAATATGTAACATGTGTAACCCGATCCGATTTATTCTTTTTTTTCTTTCGTACTCTCTAAAAGTCAATCAGTGGATTTTCATTGAAAAACAGTGAATAGTCACTGATTTCAAGTTTTAAGTATACAAATTGATAAAATTCGCACGGCTCAAATGTGACAAACGTATAAATTTGAAGGAATAAAGGATTAAGAGCCGCGACAAGATGTTAGTGTTCAAATATTTCATTCTAAATTTATTGCGAAAAAATATCACCTTAGTCAGGATTTGAACCTGGATTTTAAGTATACCACTGCGATTTTCAGTAGGATACTTTCTATACAGCACGCATGTCTAAAAGACATCTTTCAGACGTCTTCAAGTCGTCTTTTAGATATGTATGTCTGAA